GGTAGGGCAATCTGTCATGTCACTTGCTTCCTCTTTCATTATTAACTTTTTTTTATTTTTATTTTTTATTTCTTGCTGTTTCTAATTTGTATTGAATCTTTTGTTCTTCGAAGATGCCATGCTTGTTGGAGCATTGGTTGATCAGATTTTTGTCTTTTATATTAATTTGTATCTTGTGATTACGTAGAGGTACAATGCTTTACCCATCGTTAGCTGCAGGTTTGTACTAAAATTATCAGGAAGATTTTTTCTATTCTATGTTGGTTGTTTTTTTTTTCTGGAAAAGATGATTCAAATTCTCCTTCCATCATTTAATGCTCTGTATTGTGTAATGATGCTTAAACTTACAAGTTGCACCTGGAATATCGACAGTGGTAGAGGATTTAGTGAGTTAATCTGTAGTGCAGAATAAGATGCATTCATCACAAGCATTCCGATTCACATATTAGCAAGGCTATCCAGATCAAAATGTAGGGCAAAAGATGTTGCATTGGCATTACCTTTGAAAGGTTCAATTGTTTGCAACGTGAAGCACCCTATGTATGCTTTCTGATTTTAGTAACATAGATTTCTGGAGTTTAAAGCCCCACAGCATATTTGGGCCTGGAAATCTGAAAATTTCTCTAGATGAGTTATGAGTATAAGAAAATGCTATAGTTTGGTACCCTATCAGCAATTGTGCAGAGATTCTTGGAATAGTATTCTTCCTGACTTGCTGCATTTCTTGTTGGTAAGGAAAAGTAAGTAAATTTGTGTTTACCACTTGAAATCAATGTTCAATTTGTATGTCTTATCTAGCTTATATTACTTCTTATTTCAATAGCTGACATGATCTCAGACATCGTGAAAACATGTTAAGTTTTACTAGAATCTTCTGCTCTTTTTGCCATATATAGTTAGTTTACTATTTGCATATCTCTGTATTTATGTTGATAGATGCTGTCAGTACACAGTAGTGATGTGTCTTGGGTCATCTTCTGAAGCTGAAAAATGTTATTTTGCAGGCTTCAGAGCTCTCTATGGCTTCAGTATAAACCCCATCAAATTGCTGCTGGAGCTGCATATCTTGCTTCAAAGTTTCTAAACATTGATCTTACTGCTTATCACAATATCTGGCAAGAGTTTGAGGCAGCACCTTCCATTCTTCGGGGTACTTTACGCCCACTTCTCCCTTTACTCTCTCTCTCCTCTTTCTCTTGTCAAGCAACAATGTTGAATTTATACTGTTTTGATTTCTAGAATGGTTGGTTCATCAGTAATGTGTAATTGAAGTGTGGTTGATTTTTTAGAGAAGAAAAGAAGTAATTTCATCCTTATATTGCAGCAGTTGATCTTTTTTCTAAGAGTAATGTCTGATGTCAATCTCTTTTTAAATTTACTGTTTCTCTTAATTTACTGTTTCTCTTTTTGAAATCTAATCCTAGTTTTAATGTTATAAAAATATAGGTTTGTAGCTTGTCAAAAGTGTTGTCTTGAAAAAGTGACCGAACTCTCCCATTTTAGAGTAATGCTGCACATGCAGAAATAAATTGCCAAAATTATGACAGAAATTTCCTAGATTTTCAACTTTGGTTGTTGGATGGAATGAAGTGCTAGGACCACTTACCCATGCATGTGAAATTATTTTGTCAAATTCTGTGAAAAAAGTTATGGTTGTCTAGCATGCTTATAAGTTATTAATACTAATTCTCACTTTTATGCAGATGTCTCGCAGCAATTAATGGAGCTCGTTTAAATGTATAAAGAACATGATTATAGTGATTTCTAGATACAGAGTAGAGTACATTTGGTGCTGTATTCTGTTTTAAAAAAGACCTCAGAAAGAAACCGTAACAGATTGTCTGTGCTGTTTATGCTATAGTTTAAAATATAATTTGACGGACTACATGTTGAGGGGTTGTGACCTACAGGGTTCAGTGTTTCAACTCCATTAGTGTATACTCGATCTTGTGTTATCTTTTGTATTCATTTAGTTGATTAGTAGATGCTTTGTTGTGATCCCATGTCATGTATATACCAACAACGTGGCAAAGTTTATTGGAGCATTTGCAGTCATGCATACCAAAATTGTTAAATTTGAAAGTACAAAAAGCTGTCCGGTTTGAAATTAAAATTTAAACCTGTCGGAATGATTCATAGTTGAAATGATGAGGCTGCAGTTTATGGATCCAACGATTTTAACCTTCTCCAATTATATTTATATCAAACTGAGGCAGTAATGATTGCTCATAATATAAATTTACCGTTTGATTTTAATGGGATAAAACAAGTGACTTTTCCGTTTTAGATGTGTTATATACGAGGAATGCTATTGGGCTAATGTCACGTCTGTTTAGTTATTTGATGCTTTATTTCATCATTTTAGCTCGAGATTATGTATCATATTATACCTTTTAAATAGTATAGATACAGCTGTTGGAAAATCTTGCTGTAAAGATGTAAGTTATTTTAATTGATAATAAAATATTATATTGATATGTTATATGGTTTTGGGTTGTTTAAAATTAATATTTATATATTAAATATGAATCATTATCTTGTATAAAAGTATTTTTAAGAGTTTTTTTTAATTAGAGGATTTATAGAAATTCTTTTAAGTTTATATCTAATTTGATTTTTATTTATTAAAATTATTTATAAATTAAATATTAATATTTTAAAATAAATTATTAGTAAATAAAATAATTTTAAGTTATAAGTGTTAGTTTGAAAGTTAAAAATTTCATATAGGAAATATTGTTTTTGATGCTTAGGAACTCCTTAAATATGTGTGAAACTCTTCAAGTGAAATTTGTTAAATTTTTTCCAATCCCTTAGTCAATGTAGAGTAAAGTATAAAATATAGGGTTACTAATCTTAATTGATTATTGAAAAGATTATGTGATTTCTTGCGAATAGTTAGTGGACTACTTCTATTTGTGACTTTGTAAGCATGTCAAGGTCGTGGCATGTCTATACTTAGTATATTAGTCCAGGTAGTATAACTGGACTTTTCTAGTGTAAGTGGGAATGTCCGAGAAAATAAAAATAGGAATTGATATTTCATTTTAGTTGTCGATCTAGTGGGCGTATTAGGCATGAAAGTGATCAAGTTGGTTCCATAAAATCAAACCATTTAGACTACTTAGGTGTGTTAGAAGATCTCCATAAGTGAACGTGTGACGACACATTAGTTGATGAGTATGCATATGATATAGTGTGAGTTGTTGTTGTTCATATGCATTTGATGAGTATGTTGTTGTGCAATATGATTATGGTGAATGTTTGATTGCTAAGGTGTTTTAACTTTCAAACATGGTGAATATTGTTGGATGCGAATCTTGGGACGTGTTTGCTTGGTTTGCATGATGGTGTTAAGTATAGATGCTTTATTCCTATACTTTTTTTTAAAAAATATAATTTACCTTTACTTGTTTCCATATAGTTTGAATTATAGTGATCATACTTGGTATAAGAGTAGATAAGGAATAGGTTGTAAAGTGGAGGCCATCAGGTGGATGGTGGTGCTTTTGGATGTTTTGTACTTTCCTCTTATGATGGTTGTATAGTTTGTGCTTAATCAACACTTAGATTATATCTTTGATTCTTACTGGATGACTATACTTATACTATTTATATTTGTATAGTTGTTTTACACATATATGCATGTTATGTAGTACATATCTCTAGATATTTACGAATGTATGATTTTAATAAGTAAATTTTTTTGTTATTAATTTGTAATTTCATGAAATATAGCCGTCATGAAAGGTCATTATAATATTGAAGTTAAAATTAAAGTTACATAAATGAATTTACTTAAAAGAAATAAAATGAGTTATTTATTAAGAGCATTAAAAAAAAACAAATTGTTAATCACAACTTAAGAAAGTAAGAAACTATACATATGTTTAAATTTTTTTTAACTGATCAAATCACTTTTACAACATCAAGATTGAAAATTTTTAAAATCGTATATGTATTATTCTAACTCTACCACTAAGTTGCTAAGGTCGTTATATTTGGAGTTAAGTTGACATCACTTAGTCATTTATTTTTGCTTTTTAGTCCGTGAATAGTGAATATTATTCTTGAACTATCATGTTCTTTATCGTAATGTGTGACATTCTAGACTACTTTAGCTCAAATAGAAATAGGGATGATAAATAAACTCGTACCCGTGGGTAATACCCGAACTCGTTCCGACTTTAACGAAGAATATATGATTTGACCGGGTACAGGTACGTGTAAAACCCGATATATTAAACCGGGTATGGGTACATGTATATACTTACCTATCCCCGTACCCATCCTCGGTTTAATACCCACCCCTGTTTTAATTGTGTTAAAGAATTTTAATATTTTATTATGTGTGATTATTTATTATAATGTGAAATATTTATAATTATTTAATTATTAAGAAGTTTTTTGATTAAAATATGAGATAGTAAAACAACCTAATTATAATTATAATATAACGAAAAAATAATTTAAAAATGTTGTGTATTTTTTTTATAATTTTTTTTTGACAGATATAGGTATCCTCGATACCCAACGATGATGGAGATGGAGATGAAAGTTATATAGCCAACAGATATAAATACAGAAATAGGGATGAATTTGAGTCATGAGAACTAGGACGGATATCATGAAACCCATACCCGACCCCTTGCGTTACCATCCCTAAATACAAAGCTTGCAAGCAATTTAAATTCCCTTAATTACTTAAGAAAATCGATACTTATATACGAATTATATTTATATTGAAATTTAAATACACGTTAGTTTTTATTTTATATTTTATAAAACGTGGCAATTTTACCTGAATCCTTCCTAATAATATGTTAATCCGTTGCAATTTTAAATCAGTAATGCAAAATTAAATATTTAAGTTTGCAAAAGTAAATCGCTTAGAAGTATAACTAATTATAACGTCAAAATGTATTAAAGTAATTATAAAATCTATAATAAAATTCAGGTATATACTATTTTAATATGAGTTTAATAACTATATAGTTTACGCTGTCATATAAATATATAATTATAATTCATTCTTAATGTAATTTTTAATTATTCTATATAAAAATTAACAAACATATTATATGTGATAATTTATAATTAATGACAGTATAAGTGAATTTAATATATTCTTCATTAATATCTTTTGATCAGTTTTTAACTTACAATCAGCAAGTTACTGCAACATTTGACATTGCTACATATCAATGCAATGACCTTGTTAGACACATTGCATTAACGTAAAATGATTAGACACATTTCATTAATGTGAAATGATTATTTTTATCCTTATTATGATGTAACAACTTATATATTTAAAAACAAATTAAGTGGAATTCCCGGTGACCCTTGTGTTTAGAACACTATGTAAACATACATTACTAAAGTTTTTTTTAATGCTTAAAATAATGATTTTGATTTATCTTTAAATAAATTTTATAGATAAAAAAATATTTTTTATTTTTAAAAGATAAAAATTTAATAAAAATTTTATAATGATTAAAATTAAAATTTAATTATTTATAAATCATTATTTTCAAATTATCTAACCTTTTTCTATTCTCTACCGATTATTTCTCTTTTCTTCTAATTTATTTTAAATAATATGCCCAAACACACTCTTATCGACTGTGTAAACGATATTCATTAAAAAAAAAAAAGAGAGTACCAGCTTGTATTTCTTTATTTTACTTTATCATTTGAGGTTTATTTGGCTGCCCCTTGAGAAATAGAATATATCTTGTTTGTGAACCACCAGCAGAAAAAGGTTGCATCTATTAAAATTTCACGACAGCAAACCCGATGAGTCACATGTATCAACACAACTAATCAATTTTTGTAATGCTTAACCCAAAGGATGAATTGATTAATCGAAATTAAACTCGTCAACAGAAAGTGGACTCGAATTACTTACACTTACACAGAACTCCGCGATAACCGTGTACAGCGCCACCTCAAGATCCCAAATCTCCATCCGTAAACCGAGTGAAAAGTGAAAACTCCGTGACGTAGGCGTATCCGTATTGGAAAATTGCTCTTTCTCTTTTTTCGTAATTCCTTTTTTATTTTTTATTTTTTTTATTTGCTTGCCTCTAACTTACGAAATTGGTCACACGAATAGAATACACAGTGAGGACAAGAACGATCGAACGCACCATTGAAAGGGAAAACGACGGAACAACAGTGTACGGAGAGAGAAGGGGAGTGGTTTACGGCACTGCTGCTTCGCACTCGCTGATCCGTATCTGATGCGCGATTGAATCTACCAGAACGAAACGACGCGTAGTTTTGGAATTCTGTTCTAGGTTTTGATTCTCGGTTCCGATCGACCGACGATGCTGGCGAATCATTTCCAGAACGGCATCGAAACGGCGAGGCTTGTTTGGTCGCGGATTCCTAACTCCGAAGAGTCGCAGCTCCTCGACGACGCCGTTGGAATCCTCAAGAACAACGACGGAGGCGGCGTCGAGAGCCTTGACTATGAAGTCGTGGAGAATTTTGCTTATCGCGAGGAACAGGTTTTAACTATTATTCTGCTTGATTGATTTTCTTAATTCTTAATTGTTATACTTCTTCGGTTACGATGTGATATTGTGCTGTCCTTTGAGATTGTAGGCGCAGAGAGGGAAGCTGTATGTGAGTTATTTGCTGGTGGTGAAATGGTTCTTTGCGTTGCTCATTGGCATTTGTACGTTCTTCAATTTAATCGCAGTTTTGGAAGTCTTGTTTCTTCGCTAACGCGCTTTTTGTTTTCACTCTCGGGATTTGATTTTTAATTGCGGTGCTTTAGTTAGTTTTTCTGGTTAGCGAACTACATTTTTGCTTCCATTGCAAGCGTTACGGGAAGTAGTATAAATCTGTAATTCATTGAGGAAAAAAATAGGATGTGAACTCTAAGCTTCAGTTTAAACTTGTTTTAAAACTCAACTGAGTGCTGAAAATTTTCAGCAGTGAAAATGTCTTAATAATATTTGAGTCAAAATATGTGACACATATGGTCATAGAATTCTTTCACTAGCAGTTATTTAAATTATTTATTGAGACTAGTTTCCTTTAGTACAACAACTGTTTATCTTAACACACATATTGGAGTTTTCATGGCTAAGAGTTTGGTGATTTTTGGTGTTGAACTTTCCAATTTTACCAAACACACCTTCAGTCTGGTTCACACCTGACATTTTTCTTTCATACTATATTTGTTTTTTATACATATTTTTCTTTGATTGCTTGCAGGTACAGGACTTGCTGCTGTTTTTATCAATATTGCTGTTGAAAATTTTGCTGGCTGGAAGTTCTCCGTGACCTTTGACATAATTCAGAAATCATATATTGCTGGTTTTGTCGTATATGTCCTGATCAACTTGGTTTTGGTGTATTCCTCTGTATATATTATCACACAATTTGCACCAGCAGCTGCTGGATCTGGTATTCCTGAAATCAAAGGTTACTTAAATGGTGAGATAAACTCTTCCAGGGGTTTTGGATTTGTGTTGAATGTTGATCTTGTAAAATTTCCAGTACACTGAGAGTGCTGATTCTCATTTATGTTCAGGAGTTGATATTCATGGCATCCTTCTTTTCAGAACCTTAATTGGAAAGGTGTGATGGATTACGTTTTCTCCCCCTTATCTTTTGATATCATGTGGGTTGGAGGGTTCTTTTCATAAATGTTTGTCCGTCTATTTATTGCAAGATTCTTCTTATGTGCTACAGATATTTGGAAGCATTGGTTCAGTGGGTGGAGGCCTTGCTTTGGGTAAAGAAGGTCCTCTTGTCCATACTGGTGCTTGTATTGCTTCTTTGCTTGGACAAGTAAGTACCCACTACTCAGTAAATGCCAGTATCAAGACAATAAGTTAAATGTAGTCTATTCAGAGAGTAGAAGCATGAGACTTTACAAATCTGAAATATCTGTTTCTCAATATTTTATTTAACCTAAATAATTAAATGAGACTAAAAATTGATATCAATACCACCTGAAGTGTCTATTAAGTTTCATGGTAACAACATTTATCATCCCAAAGAACTGCAATTTCTGAATTTGAGCTTTTGTGTGATTTTTATTCTGTATATATGTATATCTATACAACCAAGAAACTGAAATAATCTTTGATGTCATGCCTTGAGCAGGGTGGATCCACTAAGTATCATCTAAATTCGAGGTGGTTTCAAGTATTCAAAAGTGACCGCGATCGCCGTGATCTTGTAAACCACTTTTTTCCCTTTTAATCTTCTAGTTATAATTTTGACCTGATTAGAGCTGAGAATGTACTTTTGTGTATAGTATTCCATGATCCCCTCACCCCCACCTTTGCCAAAATGACAATGATCTCCAGTTCATTAGTTCTGCTTCAACCCTAAATGTGGAAGAAGAAAATTCTCATTTATAATTTCATTGATGTCTTAAAAGGTAACCTGTGGATGTGCAGCTGGAGTTGCTGCAGCATTTAGAGCTCCAGTTGGTGGTGTGTTGTTTGCATTGGAAGAGGTTACATCTTGGTAAGGGTTTTTAATTCTTGATAAAAAATTCTGTTTGCTTAGAAGCATGTGCAGTAAAGATAGTGGTGCTTGTTCCTCTTATATTTGTTTATTGCTTGTGCACTTTTAATTTATTCTCAATGCTCTTGAAGGTGGAGGAGTCAACTCATGTGGCGTGTCTTCTTCACTTCTGCTGTTGTGGCTGTAGTGGTCCGAGCTGCAATGGGGTGGTGTAAGAGTGGAAAATGTGGACACTTCGGGTCTGGTGGATTCATAATATGGGATATATCAGAGTTAAGACCTGTCACCTTTTTCACTGTCAGTTGAATATTCAGATATTTGTTTTCTTCTTGACTGGTTTTATTTTTTAGTGGTCAAGAGGATTATTCCTTTGCAGAGTTATTGCCAATGGCTATTATTGGGGTTATTGGAGGCCTACTAGGTTGGAACTTTTGCCCTTATTTTGTACATAAATTGTACCATGAATTTTACTTGATCCTAGTTCATTTGTTAATATAGTATTAATAACTTGCAGGAGCTTTATTCAATCAGCTTACACTTTATATTACTACTTGGCGTCGAAATTATCTTCACAAGAAAGGGAACAGGGTCAAGGTATGCTGTTAATTTTGATTTGATTTTTATCTTCTCTGCTTCTGTAAAATACAGAAAAATCAAGAGAGTGGTCAATGCCCAAACATATTTTTGTTTGCCTGCATGTGGTACAATCTATTTACTTGTCATTCATTCCTTCTTTCCTCTGAAATGCAGATCATTGAAGCATGCCTTGTATCCATTTTAACATCAGCCATTTCATTTGGCCTGCCTCTTCTAAGAAAATGTACTCCTTGCCCTGAGTCTGATCTTGCATCTGGTATTGAATGTCCACGACCACCTGGAATGTATGGGAATTATGTTAATGTAAGAAAATCAGTTCTATATTGTTTCTTTGATGTGCTTTATCTTCATATATATTTTTTGTTTGACATTGTGTTTGTACTGAATTTCATTTATCTTTATCCCAATCTTTATGTTTTCAATTCAATGCTACTTAATGATAATTCAAAGTGGGAGGGAATGAGGGATGAAGTCACCACTGAAGCACTTTACTTTTGTTTCTTATTGTGATATAACATCTCTCATGTAATCTTCTTTTGATTAATGAACAAATTTTATTAGATGAAAAAACAAAATTACAGTCCTTGAAAGAAAAGCTAAAGAAAAAAGTTAGCTTAAATAGCTCAAAACCAAAGAAAAAAATAAAAGCCTCAAAACTGAGGTTTCTCTATCTGCGGTTAGAGGAGACTCCCTTAAAAGAATGGCATGAAACCAGACAGAGAGCATCTAATGCCCATTTCCAAAGCCCTTGCCCCTCTTACTTTCTGTTGCAATAGTAGACATTCTTTTGAATTTAACTCCTTGCTAATGATATATGAGGTGACACTTTGGTTTTAATTACTTTTGGAGATTGATACTATTGTATTTCTGTGCATTTTGCAGTTTTTTTGTAGCAAAGACAAGGAATACAATGATCTTGCAACTATTTTCTTCAATACACAGGTTTTGAATGAACTGAAATTTTTCTTAGTTTGTTTTACTTTTCTTATAACATTACATTAATTGACCACTTTTTTTGTTTCAGGATGATGCCATAAGGAATTTGTTCAGTGCAAAAACAATAAATGAGTACAGTTCCCAAAGTTTATTAACCTTTTTGGTATTCTTGCTTACTGATTTTAATTTTGCACACATCAGACATTAGTTCTGTGATATTTTCTATGTTATGATTGTATCAAACTTTGGACTTTGGTACATGCTAGTATCTGTATGGTAGGCATGTATACAAGTTTTTAATAAGGATACAGTGGGGAGCAAATGATAAAAACCAATAACAGAAAATGATTAAAGATATTTAGGATGGAGGTTTGGTTTTTCCAAAAAGGGGTATGAAAAATATAATTTCTTTTGATTATGATGCACCAAATAGATGGTTTCCCCCCTCATGGAGGCAGTAGTCATCAAAGTTACTATAGGAATTCCAGTTGATTTATTTTCATGTTCCCTTATTATTGGAGAGTGTTGGCACTTGGCACTTTTGACACTTTACATGCTCATATTGTAATTATTATCTTGATTATTTTGCAGGTTATGTTTTATGCTTTAGCAGTGATCACGTTTGGTACTGCTGTGCCAGCTGGTCAATTTGTTCCTGGTATAATGATAGGATCAACATATGGGCGCCTTGTTGGCATGTTTGTCGTAAAATATTACAGAAAGCTCAACATTGAAGAGGGAACGTGAGTTTGCTACTTGCTTTTGTTCACAATCATGATTAACGATATATTTTACTTCCCATTATATATGAGTTGGTTTTATTCTTAGAAGACATCTATATCAATTGATTAATCTTCTATCCTGTTTTCTGGGTGTTAGATACATGCTCCCCTTCCTCTTGTGCTCCTTGTTTATGATAAAGGAAAATGTATTCTCTATTTGGAAAGCTATTTGAAAAATTAAACACTGATACCTTGTTTGGTCCTGGACCCGAATTTCCAAAATATAAGTTGCTCATTTCCTCTTGGTCTTGGAGGGTAGTATTTAATCCTCATATTTGACATATATTTATTACTTCTCTCCTGTCTATATATCCCTGGTTTTACATGTTGATACCTTGGATATATTCTTTTTTTGCTTGGTAATTTTGGGGAGGGCCTGTTACATTTTTTTTTTCTGTTTTTATTGTATTTATTTGGCATGACTCCTTAATGCTTAGTCTGCCTCTTTTTGTTCTTTATTGACTGTTGTGTTAAGCCTTCCTTAGCATCTAAGGTACTTTTTTTTTAACTTATTTGAGCCATTTGGATATCTGCATAGGTTACCTTGGTTGGAATTTCTTGTAGACTTTTATACACTGAAGCCTGGATACTTAATATGTCATGGGTACAATACAACACGAATATGGGAAATTCAAGATATGATACAGCCTAAATATGTCAACATGAATTTAATATAAAAATACATTACATAAATGCACAATATTTATAAAGAAGAGACATTAGAGTGTGTTTTGAGAAATATGTGAAAATTAGATTATTTCAATAATCGATTATATGTATAATTGATTATTATTATTATAATTGATTATAATCAAATTGTTTGGGTAAGTTTGCTAAAATTTTTTTTTTAGATATTTAATTTCTTTTGGGTACAACAAAAAAATAAGTTTTTATGTTGTACATCAATTTTTAGAGAAAAAACTTCGAAAAATAATCATCAACTTCAAATTTTCAGATGCATGAAAACAGCTTATTTTGTTTTCTTTAAAAAAAAAAACTGTTTACAAATTTTAGCTGTTGTCCCAAATGTACAACTTTTTTTGCAAAAAGTTTTTTTTTCCTTTCTAAGCAACAACTGAAATGTTGGGAAATAATATTTCCCCAAAATGCTCTTAATCATTTTCCTTTACTCATGAATATTACTGTAGATGATAATCACAATTTACAAAAAAAAAACACTTGCGATCAAAATGCAAAAATAACACATCATTATATATTATATATCCCCTCATCCCCCAAACATGTCACAGGATTTACATATTTGTTTCTCAACCCCAAAGCATTATTAGTCCTGTTCAGAAGTCTTGGAGCTTCATGTAATTTTAGTTCTTTTCAAAGTTTCAGAGCCATATCCAAAGTGTTTCGGTTAAAATATTTTTTTAAAAAAATAGAGAAAATTGGAGGATACTCCTCAGATATGTATCTAAGAGTATGCTATGGGTATACATATGAAATGTGGGTGTGACATTGATACTTTGCTATTTTTAGAGTGCGTAGGCTTTATAGCCTTTATACTAATTTGATGGGTTCACATATATATGGCTGCTGAGATGCTAGTGATAGTTTTCCAGAGTCCAGACAAATTGATTAACAAACCAAAATGACTGTTGAAATGTGAAACTCAGCAACCATGGCGCTAAAGATTAACTCTTTTAATGCTTTTGTTTTAACTGTTTGTTTTAATAAATGCTACACTAATATGATCTCAAATAGAGTAGTCAATTAATGTAATGTAATTATATCTTCAGGTATGCTTTGCTGGGAGCTGCATCTTTTCTTGGAGGTTCAATGCGGATGACAGTGTCTCTATGTGTCATTATGGTTGAAATCTCAAATAACTTAAAATTTTTACCTCTTATTATGCTTGTTCTTCTTATATCAAAGGTAAGCATATCAAAACTCCCTTCTACAAAGAAATATCAGTAATAAATGCACTAAGCTTTTGCCATACAGGCTGTTGGTGATGCTTTTAACGAAGGTATCTACGAGGAGCAGGCTCAATTGAGAGGCATTCCATTACTGGAATCAAGGCCTAAATATGAGATGCGAAATATGACAGCAAAGGAAGCCTGTGGGAGTGGAAGGGTGAATATAATTTTTAAATTATTTAAGAAAATGAACATTCACCTAGTGGGATAAGGCTTATTGTTGTTGTATTTAAGAAAAATTGCATATACATTAACAGTTGTTTTCTAAGTAATTCTTGTTTTGCTGCAAATTCTTCCAGCAAGGAGGGGAAGGGTGAACACAAATTGCTCATCTGTTCTTGTTAGCCATTGTCCAATTAATTTTTTTTCTTTCAGTATTTCCACTGGTGAAATTGTTTTGAATGTAGAACACACCCTGACCCAACTTTAAAGGAAACCAAATTGAACTACGGGCCATTCCTGATTCTTTCTAATATAATATAATCAAAAAGTGAAAGAGGTTGTGTTAAAGGCAGATTGAAATATTTTGAGTCTAGCTTATAGTAAGGAGAGAGAGGAGGGGATTCAAAAATAAAAGCTTGATTGAATATATATGCATTAAATTATGGTAGTGGATACAACCTAAAATCTATTGGTTACTGTGTAACTTAGATCATTATACTGGGTGGCCAAAGAGAAAGGACACCAATGTTGTTTAAAATGATAAACTTAATGAGGTGCTGCTGTTGCCTATAATGGTTAATATGTATGAAAAATGAGGTTGCCACTGATAAACTATGTTTCACATGCTTTGTACTGTAGTTATTTCTTTGGCCACTGATTGTATGTGTAAATCTGTCTATTGAAGGTGGTCTGTTTCCCTCGTGTCGTCAAGGTTTCAGATGTAGTTTCCATTCTTCGGAGCAACAAACACAATGGCTTTCCAGTATGTATGACTTTTTTACTAATCTTGTGTTCAGCATTGTTCCTTGCATTATCTAAGTTGTATGTATTTCGCAATTAACTATGAAAGGTGATTGATCACACAAGAAGTGGAGAACCACTGGTTATTGGATTAGTGCTTCGTAGGTGAGAAATGAGCATAATTAAATTTTTTTATTTCTCTATACTCTGATATCATTTTGGTTGTAGCTTACACGCTTCTATGTCCTTTTCTTCTGTGCAGTCATTTATTGGTAATTCTGCAGTCAAAGGTTGATTTCCAGCATAGCCCTTTACCCTCTGACCCCAGAGGTGGGGGCAGATCAATTAGGTAAGGTTTCTTGAGATTTGTCAGTTTGGCCTTTTACATCTGTATACTGCATTTTTTATGTCTCCTTAATTTCCAGGCATGATTCTGGTGAATTTGCAAAGCCTGTATCTAGTAAAGGAATATGTATTGATGATATACATCTAAGTTCAGATGACTTAGAAATGTACATCGATCTTGCCCCATTTTTGAATCCCTCACCATATATTGTACCAGAAGATATGTCTTTGACAAAGGTGTGCAATTTAAAATCCCCTAAATAATCTTTTTCATTTCTATTCTCCATTTTTGTTGTCTGATGATCATGATGTCTTACTGATGACACAGGTATACAATCTTTTCCGTCAACTTGGTCTAAGGCATTTATTTGTTGTTCCTCGTCCATCTCGCGTGCTTGGTTTGATAACGAGAAAAGATTTATTGATTGAGGTAATCTTAGTAACTAATTGATTTTTTTGGTGTCTTGGAGTTGAACCTGCAAAAGCTTTTTTTTTTTTTTTCCTTATTGTATTTTGTAATTGTGGACAGGAGAAAGAAAATGTGAATACATTAGAGCTTCAGTCAACTAGTGTAAGGTCTCTGATGCTTTACACACTTTAAATCCTATTCTATTTTTTCAAATTCTAAATTTGGATATTTTATGTCACATTTGTTTGGATGCTAAAAACATTTTAAGTTTTACTTTGTAGTGGATTGCCACAATGCCTATAAAACTTGGTTCTATTTTGGTGGATCTTTGCAAATTTTGATCTGATATTTAGTGTCAGCAATGTTATTGCTATTTATTGTTTTGAATAATGCACTAGAGCACAAAATAGGGATGCTATCCTTGTACTCAATTATCATTATGAAATATGTCGTTGATCATGTATGCACAACTTGCTGAAAGTGTATGAATTTATGGACATCTTTGTCAGATTATCTCTTCAAAAGAAACATGATTTTTCAATGATTTATAACTTCTAATCAAGCTGTACCTTTTAGTAGAGTTTACACTTATTCATAATTAGATCTGCTGAGTTTTTGGATTGAGTTTAATAAATGGAAGAATATAAAAGTGTCCTGTCCAACCGAAAGGGAAATTTTATGTTTTTGGATATATATAGTTCAATGCTGTGTGCAAAGTCATTAAGGGTTGAATGAGACGTGAAACTTTTATGCATTTTCATATTTTGTTGTCTTTTTTCTGCAGTAAAATCTGTGCAATTGTGTTGCCTTAGCAAAGATTGGTTATGCATCTACCAGGATTCATATACTTAATCCAATAAATTGATTTAAGCAAGTTGTCTTCATGATTTTCTCATCACAGAATTCAGCATCAGTATAAAAGATTGACAAGGAATATAGATGTGGAGCGCCCTTTGCTAATTGGACTGCTTCAGAATCAGACACCTGACTAACACTGCTTCTAACTTCCTCGAAGTCCTTTCCTCTTCCAATTTTCCTTGAAGATCATTCTTTATTATTTCTTGTATCCATGTTCAAATAGGTTAGAGAAATCAATTTTGGGGTATGGGGTTATAGACACTTTGCCCCAGAATTTTGTATATTAGCCATTAGGGATAGGGAGGAAGAATTCATTATAATGATACCATGATAGTTGTATTTAGCATATGATTTATTAAATATCTGAGTTCTTGGTTGACGTCATGCCCTGGGATACTCTCCTGCCTCAGTCAAGAAAAACGTATAGAGGCGAGGGGAGTACACTAGAGAGAGAGAGAGATTAAAGTTGGAATAAAAAATAGAGAAGAAAGATAGAGAGGCAGGAGAGGGGTAATGCCCGAGAGGATCCAAATCTGTTACAATCAATTTGGAAGAAAGTAGTAATTATTATTATTTTGGGTGATAAGAAAATGAAGTCACACACATAAGAAAAAGTCATCTAACTCGATTTTTTTGGGGGATTTTCCCATTAAATTAGTGTGATTTTAAGGACATTGACTTCGCAAAGCTCATGAGAAGAGTTTGATAGATAATGCATAAAGATGGGACAGTACATAAAATAATATTATTTATGTAAAAAAGCCTAGTATGGGTTGGTTTAAGTTGGATTTTAAATTTAATTTAAAAGCCAAATTAATCCAATCAAAATTTAAGTTCATATTTTTGAATTATTATTCAATCAAATTATTTTTTATCCAATTTTAAATTTTGGTTTATAACTTATTTTTGCGATTTGCATTAGATTAGATAAATTTGCTAATACTCTTATCCGCTAATTTTGGTATGTAAATCTCTCTGATAGGTATAGTATGCCTCTTTACCTTTGTTATGTCTTTAGAAGGCTTGGAAACTGAGTAATAAAGAAAGAAAATATTTACAATTAGGAGTATTTGTGGATCCTTTGGTACGTGTACAAAGCATGTCCCAAACCTATTTGAGTTTATTTAATTTTTAAAATATTTTTTGATCAATTTTTACCAAATCAATCTAACTTTGATTAATTGATTCGGTTTATATCGTCAAATTTAAGTAAAAATCGAAATTAATATTTTATTTAAAGTTTTTTTTTAATCTTCATTCATTAACTTTTTCAATCTTAAATTTAAATTTTATCAATGGTAGGATAAAATATCAATCCCCAACTCATCCATAATTTGAGAAAGTAATTAAAACAATTTTAATATTATTTTCACTAATATTTTTTTTTTTGTTATAGACTGGGATTAAAAAAAAAGTTGATTAGGCTGAGTTTATTTCCCAAGTTGAAAATTTATGAATTTGAGAATTGAATTAATGATAATTAGTTTAAATCAAAATCGATGTAAAATAAATCAGTTATTCAAACTAATTCGAAACAATTATGTTTGGAATACTAATTTCGTTAATATGGCTGAATGAACACTAACAAGCCGCCCCATCAAGATGAAGGAACAAATATTTTAAAGTGAGTTAATTTTGCAACGTATTTTAATTCAAAATAACATTGATACATTTCAATTTTTGACTACGCGAAAAAAAATATAAAGTATGCCTACGATCTAGGCGAAGGATCTTGACAATGAAGCTCTAGAGAAATATAGTGACATGTCCCATTATTAAAAAAAATAAAATCGAAATGGCCTCATAAACCAAACTCTTGGCAACTAACAAGTACAAATCCGAATCATGCATAGCTAGAAAGAGCAAGTGCAAACAGTGCCATGGCGAAAGCCTTTGCAACAATGAATGAGGCTGCATTGTTCGGAGAAGGTGCAGGCACAGTGGCAGGGGGAACCGGAGAGGCCATTGCTGATGATGGTGTGGGTGCAGCTGCAGCAGATACCTTCACCACGTTAATGTCAACCTTCTGTCCTCCTTCGCAGTGACCAGGGATGCCACATATGAAGAAGTGGTGACCATAATTCGTTATCTTTATGGTGTCATTGCCTGTGCTCATGGTGCTCAACGGAGATGTTGCATTGCATGACTTGTACATTGCATGTGTCACTCGCATCACGTTGTGGAACTTGGCATTGTATTCAAAAACTGATTACACAAATTACCAACATTTCTCTTTTAATTCTTTCACTTATACCAATACTACTGCTACCAATAGAAAAATAAAGAAGCGCAGAGCACCATGAAAACCAAGGTAATGCAAATGAATATTGTGGGCCATTCTAATTAACAACTGTTTCATAACACATATCTAAATGCCCCTTGCAATCAAAACAAAAAAAGGTTAGGTGATTGAAAAGTAAATTCTCTCTGTTGAGGCACTAAAAACGTTGTCTTATAGTATGTTTAATATAAACTTATAAAGAGCTTTTCTACGATAAATAACTCTTTATATTTAATAGAGAAATGCTCGAAAATATTTTTAACTTATATTTAAACATGCTTTTATATTTCTAAATTCTAATAATAAAGAGCAGAATGATTAGAGTCCTAGATCAGAGAAATGTTGTTCATATCTTTTTTTTTTTTTTTAATTCTTATATTTTTTTCTACACCAAATTGTGCATGGATAGAAAGAGATCTGACGGAACTATTAACTTTTGGTAAGATTGTTTATTTTCTTTTGATTCTGAAAGGAGGTTGCATTGCAGGTACCATTTACAGGATTTTGAACTCAGTAATAATAATGAACATAAGTAAACCATAAAAATTGGAGTGAGGGGACTTACTGATAGTGTCACCAAGTTGGAAGTTCTTAGTAGCAGACCACTTCTTGTAATCTATATTACCAATGATGGTCCATCCAGCAGAGTCCCCAACCTTGTGCACAGCTGCATGTGAAACATGTAAAGCTGCCATCATCATCAAGAAAACCAAAGCTCTCTCGACCAATGTCATGTCTACAAGCTCTGCTCAGTAATTAGGAAACCCTTTTTCCTTTTTTTGAGGTTTGAGCAATTGAGGCTCTTCTCTTCTCTCTGGGATCTTTATGATATGTCCTTTTATATTACATAAATTTGTTTGGGAGATGGAGATAGGAACTTGAAGAACGGAGAAGTGAATTAGTTGGTCCCGTTCTTTTTTGTTATTATTTGTTTTGATGAAAACCTCCTTTTTAATATGAACAAAGTGGCCCCCTATGTCTCGTTGCAATCAAGTTAGGACGGTGGCAGTGGATGGAGGACTGTTTTCCTATTTTTAGCTAAATTTTGTTTGATCCCTTTTATTGTTAAATTGAAACTTTGTTAGATTATTATGTATGACAAAAAAATATTAATAACCTATAACTTGCATGAGATGTATGTAAAACTTATACAAGTGTCACTGTGTCATTTAAGAGTAAAAGTGGTCCAAGTTGTATTATTGCATGTAAGAGCGTTTTTAATTGGGTGGTATCTTATTGGGTTTTTTACCTTGACTTTCAAAAAGTAACAATCATGTGAAAATAAAATACTAGGAAAAAAAAGTGGGGCGCATGCAGAAAAAAAATTGATGAGAAAGAACATTAATAAATTGCGGTTAAAGCTGGCCTAATTAAGGATTATATAAGGGTGTTGAATCTTATATCTTGACAATACTAACGAAGTGCTAATGAAATAAAAACTTGATCCAAAAAATTGATAATTGGTCATATATTAATTGCATATATTCTCTATCCTTACAATCTGCTACATCGATGATCTTGGTTGTGTGAGGTTGTGAGACTTGAAAGGAAAGAATGTCGGGGGAAATGGTTTGGATCTGTGCGGCTACTGCACTTCATTGCAACCATCATCACCCATTTTTGTATTTTTAACGTGTTCTTGTCAAATGATTGGTGAGTATCATCATGACATAGCAACCGCATTTTGAAATATCATGATAACACATTGTTCCCATTTTGAGATGACATTGCTTTGCGCATGAGAAAAGCAATAAGCATTCGCTTTATACACCATCCAATACGTTATCATCATATACGAATATCAAATCCAGATGTCAAGTAATTGTTGAAGATAAATTGGGTGATTTATTGGTCAATTAAGCTTGTTTTCCATTAAACCCACTGAAAGGATTTTTTTCTCACATAAATAAGAAGCAAAACACTGTTTACTTTAAAACGGAGGCAAAAATATTGACATGAGTTGTGTCATTGTCATTTTATTCACCATTATTGATAGATTTTGATATAAAGAAAATCTATCTTCACAGTAATTTTTTTTTTTTTTTCTAGACTAAGACAATTTTATTTGAATTAGATAATACTATAAATAATAAAATTATTTTTCTTCCAACATATTTAAGATTTAAACTCAAAATTATTAATTAAATCAGAATAAAACCTTACTTATTGATCTAGTTAGTCATAGTCAATGATCTGGTTACATACTCTACGGTATTATTATTTTAAGTATATGGTTTGATTATTTTAAAATACCACAACGTTTCTCGCTTATTATCATTACTCGTTCTGTTTCTTTGCCTTAGTACTATCTGCTCCTATTGCTGTTTCCTCAACCATTGTTAGATTCATTTTCACGTTTTGCTCCTTTATAATTAGGTACTGTCGTCAGAATTTCAAAGGGCCTAAAGGTTTGCATGGCGTAACTGTACAGTATAGTTTTGCAACAACAAATGTCAAAGCTAAAGTCATACTCTCTGCCTCCAGCTTATTGGTTGCCAAATTATTTGTTTTTATTCAACTTTCCACTTCCAAGCTCAAGCTATCGCATGAGAATAGTAGTTTAAGATTTGTGATTCCATGTTTTCAGAAATAAAAATAATAATTGAATGATGGAAATGGACTAACAACATCCCGGTACACAACATACACAAGCATTAAAGTCGTGTTTGACTTGTTTTTAATCAGTTGGAATTATAACAATGACAGTCAAACTCAAAATCTTATACATAAAGAAAAATAATTAGTGTATGGATTATGGAACAAGTTTTTTCCAAGAAGAAAAGCGAGCGAAGGGAAAAAAAAATTATCTATCTTATATGGCTTGCAAATCAGGATAATAAATGTTTGATCAACTCATAACAATGTTGCAGGCCTAGGAATAAAAAGAACTTGCTTAATTAGCTGCAACTAACCCACGTTCTTACTTAGCACGTACTCACTCTAAACCCTAATAAAATACTCATCTTACAACCTGGAGGCTGGATCATAGCCATTAGAAACATTGGCCACTTTCTCATCATAAGCATACTCATCATCGATAAACCTCTTCCAGAACCAATGCTGCTTCCACACCCTCTCCGTCATTTCTTCAATGGGGATATTCTTAGTCTCGGGCATGAGGAAAACCACGAAGATAGACATGATGAGGACCCAGCCAGAGAAGAACAAGAAGATGCCAAACTTGAAGTGGCACAGCATGGAGAGGAATGCCTGTGCAATGACGAATGTAAAGAGCAAGTTGACACAAACGGTGACACTCTGGCCAGCAGAACGAGTCTCCAATGGAAAAGTCTCACTTGGAATAAGCCACCCTAGAGGACCCCATGACCATGCAAACGCGGACACGAAAATGCACACCATAACAACCACCAGAATTGCAAAACCCTTGGAGAGATCATTAGAGTGGTCCGTCACCTTTATTCCCAAGAGGATTGCTATCACCACTTGAGACAAGAACATCTGCACGCCAGCTTCGAGCAAGAGCATGCGACGCCCCACTTTGTCCACTGAGTAGATGGAGACAATAGTGGAGAGAACATTGACTGCCCCTGTAATCACAGCAGAATAGAGGGATGCATCGTTCTTGAAGCCTAACGTGTTGAACAACACTGGGGCGTAGAACATGATAGCGTTGATGCCTGTGAATTGTTGGAATATCTGTTTTACAACACACAACCAAAACCAATGAGTTACGCTACAAAAACTGACAATGTAACACATTTAATTATTCATTGACTTGATATATTATTAACATGACCCGATTATCAGTGACAAGACATGCTAATGTAGATTACTGATATGGTATACATAAAATGACATGGTAAGTCGATAATTGATTTTTCACATCAATAATCAACACGTTATTATAATTAATTTTGCATGAAAATTTTGATTTTGGGTGATAAAAACACAAAAAATAAAAGATTAAGTCTAACACTTTAATTACCTGGAGGGCAATGGAAATGACAATTTGTGGTCTGTTTCTGCGCTTGATAAGATTCCTGAAGGGGTGTTTGACCTCTTGGGCCACACGACTTGCCTCGACGAGTTCCAAAAACTCAGGTTCAACGTTGTCAGTGCCACGAATTTTTTTGAGGACCGCTTTTCCTTCTTCTAAGCGTCCACGTTCGATGAGACTGTTGGGGGTGTCAACCACAAACAAGGCTCCCAAGGTGAGTAGAACTGCTGGGATACCCGCCAACCCCAGAGATAGCCTCCAACCCCACCCTCCTTTGATTCTGTCGATGCAGGTCATAACATCAATGATAGTCAATCAATTTGAACAGCAGTAGTACAACGTAAATCAAGACAGCAGATTCAGAATTCAATTATTATGTCTGGAAACTTTAACAATCATTTTACGTGACAACATAATGATTTTCAACAACATTGATTTCTTCACCAAAATCTTTGGCATGACTAAGCTGGTTTGACTTTATGGGTGATTTCATAATTACTAGCTACCTTGCATTTCTTTTACTACTACTTATTTTAAAAGTTTACATGCTACGGCAGGTTTTTTTTTTAGAGTAACGTTCTTCTCGGAATAATTTTTCACAACTGTGAGTGGTTATTCTTTTCCTCATAACTCATTAAATGGTTACCTAGTGAACATGGAGCTACAAGCCTACATCGTTTTCTATCAACTATTCTTTTTGGGCCTGGTCCATATAGACTTTTACCAAGTTGGGTTACCACGAGTCGCGTGAAAACGAAAGTCATGGACTCGGGGTGGGGTTTTATTTAATTCTCTCTCTCTCTCTTTTTTCTCTTTCTTAAAATGCAAAATATTGGAACAGGATTCTCAGTAATTCAAGTACTACAATGGGCGTAGTTCAAGATGTCACTGATGAACAGGAACCTAGTCTGTGTTTCTTTGAAGCGTGCAGCTTTGACCAGACCCAAACAGATGTCTCATGGATAAAATCTAAATGGACACTTGTTCAGGTTAGCAGATGACAGTACACTTCAAAGAGGCAAGCATGTGCTATACTATTTTGAATTTTGATTACGGCAATAAAAGTCATAGAAATTATCTTAATTTTGTTGTTTTCCATTCGACAGTTAGTTGAGTCTATGAGGTTAACAATTTTGACCGCTAGCACCCACACTAGTATGATCCATTAGTTCAATTTGCTAACCATTACTTATGATTATAACCTATTACGAAAGAAGTCAATAACATAGCAAAAAATAAAATTGTGTGGGGACTACTATTTTGACTATAACTTGCTCTTTAATTTCAAGCACATACATCATCTGATTCGTTTTTATTTCCAATGAACTAGTCATTTGAAGAAAAGTAAGCAATAGGGGTGCACAAAAGATACTTACTTGTTGGTGCCGTAGTTAACAAGGTTAGCAAATAGAATGCCAATTGTGACATTGAGCTGGAACAGTATATTCAATGCTCCACGAATTCTTGAAGGTGCGATCTCAGAAAGGAACACTGGTACGGCCTGTCATAAAAATGAAACACGAAATTTGAGTCAGTAAGGTTAATTTGCTTTCTGATACCATTAACTATTAATTAGTAAGACTTCATTTTAATTTTACTATTATTAATTGATTTGGACCACAAACAGCTTAGTTGTATTGCTTATATGCGTAAGAAATCCGCAAAAACAAGGTCAAAGTAATGATTACGCATTACTTTGACCTTGTGAACTACTTACAAAAGAAAAGAAAAAAAAAAGGGCCCCGAACTTTTTCTTTTTAATTCCAAAATGGAAACTCATTTCAAAATAGGAAGCTTCAAAGAATTGCGTCAAAGTGACAAACTAATAATCATAAAATATGGTACAAAAAGTGGTCCCTGTTCCTTATACAATCGTAGTGGTAAGAATATTTGAAGTATATAAAGGTGGTGGAAATGGATTGGAGAAGTTAATGGGTGATCAAGACTTTGGTTGTAACAAGAAAAATTATGGACAAGTGTCCCAAAAGTTTCAGTTTAAACTAGAGACTTGTCTTCCGTTGGCGCACGACAATCCACAATATAGTTGTGGGGACATTCATCTGTCCGAGACAAAGACTTTGGGATATATTTTTTATATGTTAAATTCTTAACATGTATATATTATCTATGCGTCGGCCATGTTCTCTGTATATAATATAGACACACGCAATGCACACCAAACAAAATCTGAATATACTAATTTTCGTCTTTGGACGAAAGGGACACGGGAATCTTGACTAGTTAAGTTTGAAGGCATAAAACAAAACCAACGATACACTTCAAATTGGAATAAAAAACTGTATTATAGAGGTGTACTGTGTAATGTTATCCCCTTTCATAATTTAGAAAAAATATCATATCCCATTGAACAAATACTCGAACTGGACATTTGTTGAACAAATGTGAACAATCCTAGACACAGTGACAACTGTGGCAGAGGATTCAATTGATTGAGCTAATTTAAAATAAATAAAGAAATAGATTTTAAGATTATATAAAAATAAAGGTAATTCATTTGCATTTTAGAGATTCTATGTGAAGTAGAAGCCAATTTCACGTCCATTTATTTTTTAAAACAGTTTTCAAAGTATAAAAAAGAAGTGATTTACTTTTTTCAGAAGTTTTATAAAACCAAAAAAGAAGTCAGAAGTTATTTTTTTCATTACATTGATAATTATAACTATACTTTTTCTATATATAAAAAACTAAAATAAACATTTAAAATTTTTTAAAAGCAACTTTCTAAAGCAAAAACATTAATTCTTTTTTCATGAAAAGAAAAAACTTAACAAAACCGTACAAAACTTTTTTCCATACATAAAAAAAAATACTATCTATTAAATAATAGATAGTAATCAATGAACGAATCGCATACTATCAAACATACATGTGCTCATTTATTTTTATTTCTCACTACCTTAGAAGCAATAACTCAAAAGTCAAGGCGCGGCATGCATCTAACTCCAATTAATTATTAGTATGTAACGTAAGTTGCGTAACCGATTTTTTTAAAGAATTAATTATACCTTTAATAGTAATTATATTGCAGTTATTTATTTAATGAAATAAAAATAAAATCAAATAATTTAAAAAATATAATTAATTATCGGTATAAAATTTTTTACATCAGAATGTATGGATGATTAACTATTTTTAAAATAAAACTAGTAATAAAATAAAATGAAGCGTAAAAGAAATAGTGATGAAACCTGATTAGCAAAGCCAACTCCACAACCAAGTAAGAGCCTCCCAACGATGAGCATGGCAAGGTCTTGAGCAGCAGCATTAAACACAACACCACCGATGAAGAAAAAGCCAGCAATTAACATGGTAAGTCTTCTCCCTAACCTACGCGTCGTGTCGGAGGCGAAAAAGGTGGAAGTCAAA